CGCCCGTGCCATCCCCGCCGCCTGCCGCGCGGCGGCGCGCGACTGCACGGGCATCTGCTCCGGCTGCCCCTTGAACCCGCCCAGGCGCTCCTCTGCACCCACGCTTATCGCCGCCTCGCCGCGCCCCGTCCCCGCCTGCCACTCGCCAGCATTGCCGCTGCTCTGCTGCTCCAACGCGCCGCCACTGCCCGCCCCCGACCCCCACCTGCTCATCTCCTGTTTGCCCTCCTCACCCATCTCCTCACCGCCCGGGTGCCTTCGCTCACCGCCTCCGCCGGGGGCGCCCTGGTCGCAAGGCAGGGACGGAGCGCCGGACGCGGCGCGCTGGGGCGCGGCAGGGGCGTCTCGCTTGAAGGCCTGCTGGAACTGCGCATCAGGCTCTGACAGCAGGCCGGGAATGTACCTGGGTCGAGGGGAAGCGAAGTGTGCGGGACGTCATCAGCAACTGTTCTTGCAACCTGACGCACTTGACATTCAGTTTGGCCACGCATGCATGCAGCAAGCATGGGGCGCAAGTGTTGGGCGTGCACGTGCTTGTCTGCAACGATGCCACCAACCTGGGGCCCGCCGGCTGCGAGGCGCGCTGCGGCTCCTGAGGCGTGCTGGTGGCGGCCGCAACATGCCTCCCGGGTGGCGGCAGCTTGCCCTTGTGCTTGCCCTTGCCCTTGACACGCTGCCAGCCCTCCTCGTCTGCCTCCTCCTCCTGTTCCACCAGCGCTTCGTAATCGACCGCTGCCTCCTGCTTCATGCTGCACGGGTGCTGCCTCTGCTGCTGGGGCTGGGGCTGCCAGCAGTGCTGGCGCGGCCGCTGCTTCAGCGGCGCCGGCTGCGGCTGGTGAGAAGCCGCGGCAGCGGCCGCCGGTGTGGATGCGGCCGGTGGTACTGGTGCCGGCTTCTTCTGCCGCCTGGCTTCTGCGACCTGGCGGGCCGCCTCCAGCAGCTCCTTCACCTGTTAGTGTGTGGTGGTTTGTTTGAGGGTTGTGAGTGGTTGCATGTAGATTCCAGCGCATGGTGTGCCTGTGCAGACCGCAAAGCAAGGACGCACGCTGCTCAATGCATGCTTCCAGCTGATGGGCCACCCGCTCAACCGGCTGCAGCCTGCCGCGCGCCTGAAGGTCAGAGCCAGCTAGGACGTGTCCGATCCCGCCACAAGCCAACCTTGCCCACCTTCTTCTGCTTCTTCTTCTCGTCCTTGACTGTGGTGGTAGCGGTCGACGGTGCATGCATGCATGTGTGCATACGTGCATGCACGCATGCATGCAGGTTGTTGGTGGTACGCTATGCAACGGGTGCATGCCATGCAACAGTCAGCCAGGGAGTCAACCTTGCATGAGTCAGGCGTGCTGCTGCATGCGTGGGAGGCATGGTGATTCAATTGCCCCAAATGAGCCCTCGGGGCGTGCAGCAACTTCCCACCCACCATGCACCACCCTCATCTGGAAGACCTGCGCAGGGATGCCAACGCAGGGCGGGCTGGCGTCGAGGGAGGGGGATGAGCACATGCATGATCACAGTGCAGAAACAACTCCAAGTTCTTGGCGGTGCATGGCTGGAAAATAATGTCAAGCAGCCCTGGCGGCACGGCACGCCCCCTGCTTGGTAAGATGGGGCGCCGGCCCCGCTTGCTCACCTTGCCCCTGCAGGGCGGCGGCCTCGGCTGTGCGGCGGCGGCCGTGCCGACGGGGCATGCGCTGGCAACGGCGCCATTGCGGCCGCGGGCCTTCAGGGCTGTGCCACGCCTTGGGGGCTTGAGATGGGACTGCGACCGATCGAGGCGATGTCATTGAAACAAAAGTTTTATGCATGTGAAAACCCGCATGCAGCTGCAAATGCAGCTGCCGCTGCTATGCCTGCATGGATGGGGCGTTGTCATGCTTCAAAGCCACAGCAGCATGTTGCTAGCACATGCGCTCGCACAAGAGATTTGAGTGATAGGCACGCCTTATGACTGCTCGCCTCGATGCATGTTGTGTGGTACAGTGGGTCACAGCCAGCAGTGCATGGCGCGCGGGCTGTGGTGCCGACGGGGTCGGGTACGGCGACCTTGCCGCACAGCAGGCACTCCGAGGGCCTGTCTTGCGCGGCCATACATGCAGGGGATCTATGTCACAATTGAAGTGTGCCCGCCTGCGGTGGCGGAGGAGGGGCGAGCGATCGAGCTTTGCACAGTCGCGCACAGCAGCAGAACGGTGTGGGGGTGCTGCTGCTTGCAGCCTGACTGTGGCCTACAGGCTCAGCCGGCTATTCCTGGGCATTTGAGCAATCATATGACAATTGAATGCCTTACCAATGCGATCCAGGACGTCAGGCTGGCGTGTCGCGCCAAAACCCGCTCGGACACCGCCGGAGCTGCGTGGTCGATGTTGGCGTTTCAAGGAATTAAATAGGTCTTTGATGCTCATAATTTGCGTCGCAGATTGTCTGAGTAGGACCGCCGATTGAGCTGTCACTGGTTTTCACTTGACGACATACAGCCACCAGCACCTACGGTCGTGTTGATGCAACACGACTTCACCTCGTCGAGCATTTCTGTTGAATGCTGAGCATTGATATTTCATATATATTCTGCCTGTCTCAGATCCATCTGTGACCGCCACGCGTGTTGCTGCTCCGGCTCTAGGCGCTTGACACAAGGCCCCACTTCCAACCGGCAACGGCTTGCTCCGCCTATGAGCTTTCTACAAACCTAAATCCTGCACTCTCAAGGTCATGCATGGAATGTAACAAAGTCCTTGAATAAGCGTCACCTCATACTCACAGAAAACCTCCCGCATCATCACACACAGCAACTTGAATCAAATTGGCAGCCCATTACGCATTCCTATTGCCTATTGGTTAAACATGTTGTTGACACGAGGAAAACACAAGTATTGATGTACATTTGGAAAGCGTGCGGGCCGCATGCGCTGGCTGCAGCAAAAACCGCACTGCTGTGCAATGCGGGGACTGCACAAAATCAATACATCGCATCACCGAACCGAACGGCCCCTCGGGCCTGCAGCTGCACGAAGGCAGGGGAGCGCCGCGCCGCAATGGCAAGGGCTTCCTCGTAATCCTGAGGCAGCTCGAGCGCGTCTAGGTTGGGCAGCCAGGGGGCCGCAGCCATGCACTCCACCCCCACCACAGCCGCCCGCATCATCGCTGCGCAAGGCGGGCTGTAGCGAGTTGAGTACAGCCCCCAAAACATGTCTGGGACGGCCAGGCGCCGCAGCGAATGGAGTGGGGCGGCGGCTAGGGCGGCCCACGCCCGCTGGGCCGACGCCTCCTCTTGGCAGGCGTAAGGGCATTGCAGACGGAGGCCAGTCAGCCTGGGCAGCCACGGTGCATCCGCCAGAATACGCACGACGTCCAATTGCGACGCGACCCGCGCCGGGCGAGCTTGGGCGGTCGGCGAAGACACCTTGAGGTGCAGGATGCGCAGCGAAGGCAGCAGCACGGCGGCCAGCGCTTTCAGCCAGTGGCCCGATGCCGCCACGTCCGCATCCCCAGATATGGCCAGCTCCTCCACGCCCGCCATCCACGGCGCCGCAGCGAGCGCCGCGGCGGCCTCGAACGAGCACACGTCGACCTCCAGGCGCCGCAGCCGCGGCAGGCGCATCGCGGCGAGGTGGGGGGCCGGGTCCTCGTCGGCGCCAGCGCTGATCCTGTCCACCACCAAGCTCACAAGCGCCGGGAGCTCCACGCCCCGCAGCGCCCGCACGTCCTCAACGGTCAGCATCTCGTCGTCGTCGTCCCCAAACAGCAGCAGCAGCTGCCGCAGGCAGCGCAGCCGCCCCGCCGCGGCCGCCGCGCTCAGGGCCCGCAGGGCCGCGCCGTAGGCTCCACCCGTCAACAGCGGCAGCGTGAGCACGGTCAGGCCCGCCGGGCAGGCGCCCAGCACCTCCGCCGCCTCGGGTGCCAGTCGCTCAGCGGCTAGCTCCTGCGGGGATCCGCACGCGGGCGTTTGACATGGGGGAGCGTCTCGATGCATTCTAGCGCGCATGTCACGCGTCGAAGCGAAACGCATGCGGCACACCCACATGGAAGGCTGCCCGCGTGCCAAGCGACCCGGCCCGCAGCCCCCGCGTAGCACCTGCAGGTGGGGCCATGCACTGCTGGCCAGCGCGTCCCGCAGCGCCCGGCTGCCGTCGGCACGCACGCTGCGCAGCGAGAGGGACCGCAGCTCGGGCAGGTGACGCGCCGCGGCGTCGACCAGCACGCCCAGGCCGCACGTCTCTCGCAAGGGGGTGTCGAGGTCGATCTCGAGCCGCTCCAGGCGCGGGAAGAGGGGGAGGCACTCTGCCAGGTCAGCGATGCCATCGGGATCCACGTCCTGGTCCCAGTCGGTGTAGAGGCTGAGGGAGACTAGGTTTTTGAAGCCCAGCAGCGGAAGGACGGTGGCCAAAAGGACCATGCAGTATTCAGTGGAGATATGGACGCGCAGGGTACGCGCTGCCGGCGCCAGCCGCGGCGCCGCGGCGACGAGGCCGTCCCAGTGCGGGGCGTGCACGGCGGCGATGTGGATCACGCGCGGCCACTCGTCTACAATTGCGCGGGCTTTGCGGTTGACGAGTCGCAGGGAGCTGCGTGCGGCGGTGCTGCCGGAGCTGTCGTTGTGGCCGCTGCTGCCGCTGCTGCCAGTGCTCGTGCTGAGCGGGAGGCCCCGTGCGACCTGCCGGAACCCATCATTGGTATACCGCCACATGTCGGGGCAGCTGTCCAAATCGCATCTGCCTAACCAAATTTGGGCGATCGCTTCAGCGCAATTGGCCGGCAGCTGCGGCTCCGTCGACCAGGGCCAGAGCGGCGAGCAGCACTGCGTGTGCACCCTCTGCGGCTCGCCCAACTGGCCTGGCTGCGTACGAGTCAGATGATGTTTCTGCCGTTGATCTGCCATAATGGCGACCAGCAGACTGCACGGATACGTTGGAGTGTGCCAGATCGCGAACCCGATCGAGCAAATTCAAAATCTGCCGTTTTTACTACCGTAGTGTTGCATGTTGCGTGTTGAGGAGCCTTGGCTGAATTCGCTTGCTCCCAGTATACCGTAGTTGCCCCCCCCCCCCTGTCGATGCACACCTGGGTCAACGATGCAGTGACAGCGTGCTGGGCCGCATCACGGCGCATCGCGTCTCCGAGCATGCATGTCCGGAGCCCTTTTGGGCATTTTGCTCTTGCTCCCAGATCCCCCAGCAATGCCGTGCTGCGCTGAGACAACACCTCAAAGGGACCCTCACACATTGCTGGGTCCACAAGCTTTCAAACGGGGGGGTCATCAACGCGCAAAGGATTGTCGTTCCCTGCCTTTGTTCATTGCAACAAACGCGCGCAGGCCGCTGCGCATGCCGCTTGCCACCACGTTGCCTAGTCGCATGTTGCATGCCGCTGCTGCTGCTGCTGCTGCTGCTGCTCCTGCTGCTGCTGCTGCTGCTGCTGCTGCTCCTGCTGCTGCTGCTGCTGCTGCTGCTGCTGCTGCTGCTGCTGCTGCTGCAGGTAGAGGCCCCGCTCGTGGGGGCCCTGCTGGTCAACCACAGGAGTGACAGAGCACGCGTGCTGGACAATGTCAGGAGCGGCCTGCTGTGGCGTGGGTAACACACGATCTATCAAATTCTACAGTTGTCTATGGTTGTCTATGGTTGTTATCGATTTGTTTTATTGTGCATGCCTGCGTTGGCGGGGGAGGGGCGAGCAATAGAGCGGAGCCATGGCATACCTGTTACCAGATCGGAATCTTTGTTGACGTCGCGCACGGCCGCCCCCTCGGCGCCGCCTGGCCCCACGGCCGCTGCTGGTCTGTTGCCGTTGCTGTTTGGCTTCGGAGACAGGCACACGCCGAATTCAGCGAGTTCGGCAGGGGCGGCGGGGCGACGGCGCGGGCGCGGGCGGCCCGGTGTGGCGTCGCACCCCTGTACCCAAACGCGTGGGAATCGTGACAGGCGGGCGGGTGCACCGTTTGCGGTGTGTGTTGTTGGACTGCATTTGTGCGTCGCTTTTGAAGCACTACCACGCGCCTGTTGGGCCAAAGCAGCTCAGCTTTACTGAACAACGCCTTCAGGTGCTGAGGATTGCAAGGATTAATATTGCATGATCATCCCATTTGGCTGCGGCCCATCTCTCACCGCCATGTGACGCTTGTTGCCGCCGCTGCCCTTGGTTCATTCATGCACCAGATAGAAGGAATGTACAAGGTATTGATACTGGCCAGCACAGCCGGTGCATACAGAGGGACACTGTCACAAAGCCCATGTGGCTTGTGCATGGCTTACATGCTTTGTTCTCTGATGGGTGGGACCACCAGTGTCCTAATTTAGCCAAACGCTTTCCCACTGCATTGGCAGTAGCATACAAGTGTGAAGCATGCAAGCTGCGTGCACTTAATACAGCAGGAACGCACCGCCCTGCAAAGCGCGCCGGCACAAAATCAGTATGCACGCATGTCACCAAAGCCTGCGGCAACAGACCGGCGGCGGCCCGGAGGCCGGGCGGCGCCAGGGGGGGGGGCGCAGGCAGGTGCGCGAAAAGTCAACAAGGTCCCTCCCAGGTAGTGGCCATACCAAACCGCAGAGCCCCCCGGGCCTGCAGCTGCACCAAGGTGGGAAAACGGCGCACCGCGGTGGCAAGGGCGTCCTGCTCATCCCGAGGCAGCTCGAGCGCGTCGAGGTGCGGCAGCCAGGGGGCCGCGGCCATGTGCTTGACGCCCACCACGGCAGCCCGCATCATCGCCGCGCGGTAGCGAGTTGAATAGAGGCCCACAACCATGTTTGAAACGGCCAGGCGCCGGAGCGAATGGAGTGGGGCGGCGGCTAGGGCTGCCCACGTCTTTTGGCCGGACGCCTTCCCTGCGGACACCTTGCCTGCACAGGCGTAAGGGCATTCAAAGCAGAGGCCAGTCAGCCTAGGCAGCCACGGCGCGTCTGCCAAAACACGCACGAGATCCAGCTGCGACGCGACCCGCGCCGGGCGCGCTTGGTCGGTCGGCGAAGACACGTGGAGTAGCAGCACGCGCAGCGAAGGCAGCGGCACGGCGGCCAGCGCTTTCAGCCAGTGGCCCGATGCCGCCGCGTCCGCATCCCCAGATATGGCCAGCTCCTCCACGCCCGCCATCCACGGCGCCGCAGCGAACGCCGCGGCGGCCGCGAACGAGCACACATCGACCTTCAGTCGCCGCAGCCGCGGCAGGCGCATCGCGGCCAGGTGGGGGGCTGGGTCCTCGTCGGCGCCTGCGCTGATCCTGTCCACCACCAGACTCTCAAGGGCCGGAAGCTCCACGCCCCGCAGCGCCCTCATGTCCTCAACAGTCAGCATATCATCATCGTCGTCCCCAAAGGACAGCAGCAGCTGCCGCAGGCAGCGGAGCCGCCCCGCCGCCGCCGTCGCACTCAGGGCCTGCAGGGCCACGCCGTAGGCTCTGCCGGTCAGGATTGACAGCACGATCGCCGTCAGGCCCGCCGGGCAGGCGGGGCTGCCTAGCACCTCCACCGCCTCGGGCGAGACGCGCTCGGCGCCTAGCTCCTGCGGGGGTTTTTGTGCGGGCGTTTGCCATGGGGCGGAGCGTCTCGGAAGGGTCTAGCGCGACTGTAGCGCAGCGCACGCGGCCCAACCGCATGCAAGGCTGCCCGCGCGCCAACCGAGCCGGCCCGCAGCCCCCGCGCCGCACCTGCAGGTGGGGCCAAGCCCGGCAGGCCAGCGCGTCCCGCAGCGCCCGGCTGCCGTCGGCGCGCACGCTGCGCAGCGAGAGGGACCGCAGCTCGGGCAGGTGGCGCGCCGCGGCGGCGACCAGCACGCCCATACCACTGTTCTCGGTTGAGCAGGTTTCGAGATCGATCTCGAGCCGCTGCAGGAGCGGGAAGTTGGGGAGGCAGCTTGCAAGGTCAGCGATCTCGTACGGGTGGACAACCTCGTCCCATTTGTTGTTGAAACTGAGGGAGATCAGACTGTTGAAGCCCAGCTGCGGAAGGATGATGGACGGAAATGATGTGTAGTAGGGTTTGGAGATGCAAACGCGCAGCGCCCGCGCAGCCGGCGCCAGCCGTGGCGCCGCGGCGACGAGGCCGTTCCAGTCGCGCTCATGCGCCACGGCGACGCGGATCAGCCGCGGCCACTCGTCTACAATGGAGCGAGCTTTGCGGTTGACGAGTCGCAGGGAGCTGCGTGCGGCGATGATGCCGGAGCTGTCGTTGTGGACTCTGCTGCCGCTGCTCGTGCTGGTGCTGGGGGGGAGGTCCGGTGCGACCTGCCAGACCACAGCACTGTTATATCGCCGCATGTCGGGGCAGCTGTCCAGGTCGCAGCTGCCCAGCCACATATGGGCGATCGCTTCAGCGCAATTGGCCGGCAGCTGCGGCTCCGCCGACCAGGGCCAGAGCGGCGAGCAGCACAGCGTGTCTAGATCTTGCCGCTCGCCCTGGCCTGGCTGCGCACGCGCCAGCTGCTGTCGCTGCCTTCGACCAGTCATATTTATATTCAGCATACTGCACGGATACGTTGAAGCGTAGCAGATCTCGGGAGAAGCAGGGTTCGGAATTTGCGGGGTTGTTACCGGTATTGCATGATGCTTGGAGCCTTGGCTGGCGTCACTCGCTTCTACGGTGGTAAGGTCGTCCCTGCTGCTGCACTCGATGCACACCCGGGTCAACGATGCAGTGACCTGTACTCGTGCTGGTCTGCGTCATCTTACGCCTCCAAGCATGCAAGACCAGAGCCCTCTCGGGCCTTTTGCTCTTGTCAGTTCCAGATCCCCCAGGAATGCTGTGCTGCGTCGCGGAAACGCGCGGATTTGTGACAGGCGGGCGGCCGCGCCAATCGCGATGTATGTTGTCGGGTTGCGTTTGTGCGTCCCTTTTGCAGCACGACCACGCACCTGTTGGGTTGAAGCAGCTCGGCTTTAATGAGCAACGTCACTAGGCGCTGAGGATTGCTATTGCAGTATCATTCCATTTGTTTTAGTCCCTCCTGTCACCACCGTGTGACGCTTGTTGCCGCCCCTGCCCCTGCTGGTTCATCGGTGCATGTTGCTGCCCTGCTTGCACAAGGCAACAACTGCTTCGTATCTTAGTTCAACCACATTTGAAAGTTGGGCAGGGCACAGGCACCAGAAGCAATTTACAAGCCGATGATTCTGGCCAGCACATTGTACAGCCGGTGCATTACGGGGGACACTCTTTGATGTGTCATCACTCCCATGTGGCTTGTGCCTGGCTGACCTCACACGCTTTGTTCTCTGCTGGGTGGGACCACCAGTGTCCTGCTAAGGGCAAACAGTTTCTCACTCCATTGGAAGTAGCATACAAGCGTGAAGCATGCGAGCTGCATGCACTGAGTACAGCAGGAACAAACCGCTGAGCAAAGCGGGCCGGCGCAACATCAGCACTTTGCAGCACCAAACCGCAGAGCCCCCCGGGCCTGCAGCTGCTCAAAGGTGGGGAAGCGGCGCGCCGCAGTGGCAAGGGCGCCCTTATAATCTTGAGGCAGCTCGAGCGCGTCCAGTTGCGGCAGCCAGCCGGCCGCGGCCATGCGCTCCACCCCCACCACAGCCGCCCGCATCATCGCCGCGCAGGGCGCGATGTCGCGAGTTGAGTAGAGCCCCTCAAACATGTCTGCGACGGCCAGGCGCCGCAGCGAATGGAGCGGGGCAGCGGCCAGGGCGGCCCACGCCCGCTGGGCGGACGCCTCGTCGCGGCTGGAGTACTCACACTTCAAACGGAGGCCAGTCAGCCTGGGCAGCCACAGCGCATGCGCCAGAACGCGCACTAGGTTCCGTTGTGACAAGAACCGCGGCGAGAACGTTTGGTCGATTGGCGGTGACATTCTGATGCGTAGCACGCGCAGCGAGGGCAGCGGCACGGCGGCCAGTACTTTGAGCCAGTGGCCGGTTGGAGAAACGATCGAGTCCCCAAATATGGCGAGCTCCTCCACGCCCGCCATCCACGGCGCCGCGGCGAGCGCTGCGGCGGCCTCGAACGAGCACACATCGATCTTCAGTCGCCGCAGTCGCGGCAGGCGCATGGCGGCGAGGTGGGTGGCCGGGTCTTTGTCCGCGTATTGACCAATCTTGTGTACCACCAGGCTCTCAAGCGCCGGGAGCTCCACGCCCCGCAGCGCCCGCACGTCCTCAACAGTCAGCATGATCTCGTCCTCGTACCCAAACAGCAGCAGCAGCTGCCGCAGGCAGCGGAGCTGCCCCACCGCCGCCGCCGCGCCTAGCGCCCGCAGGGCTGCGCCGTAAGCTGTGGCAGTCAGGAGCGGCAGTGCGAGCGCCGTCAAGCCCGCCGGGCAGGCCACCAGCGCCTCCGCCGCCTCGCGCGAGAGGCAACCCGCGCATAGCTCCTGCCGGGTCCCAAATGGGGGCGATTGTCACGGGGCGGAGCGTCTCAGTAGTGTCTAGCGTGCCTGTTAGGCGCCGGCTGAAGCGCAACGCACACAGCGCAACCGCATGGAAGGCTACCCGCGTGCCAACCGCGCTGGCCCACAGCCCTGGTGCCGCACCTGCAAGTGGGGCCAAGCCCGGCTGGACAGCGCGTCTCGCAGCGCCCGGCTGCCGTCGTCATCCACGATTCCCAGCGAGAGGGACCGCAGCTCTGGCAGGTGGCGCGCCGCGGCGTTGACCAGCACGCCCGGTTTGTGGGTCTCTACCATAAAGAAGTTGTCGAGATCGATCTCGAGCCGCTGCAGGCGCGGGAAGAGGGGGAGGCACTCCGCCAGGGAATTGACTCTATGCGGGTCGACGTCCTCGAACTCATTGGTGTAGAGGCTCAGGGATATCAGGTTTTTGAAGCCCAGCAGCGGAAGCACGGCGGCCAAATCCACCATGAAGTGTTCGGAGGAGATGTGGATGCGCAGGGCGTGCGCGGCCGATGCCAAGCGCGGCGCCGCGGCGACGAGGCCGTCGCAGTCCGGTTCGTGCGCGGCGGCGATGTGGATCACGCGCGGCCACTCGTCTACGATGGCGCGGGCCCTGCGATTGACGAGTCGCAGGGAGCTGCGTGCGGCGGCGATGCCGGAGCCGGCGTCGGCGCCGCTGCTGCTGCTGGTGCTGGTGCCACGCGGCAGGCCGGGCGCCACCTGCCGGAATTCAGCATTTGTATACCGCCACGTGTCTGGGCAGCTGTTTAGGTCGCAGCTGCCCAGCCAAATTTGGGCAATCGCTTCAGCGCAATTGGCCGGCAGCTGCGGCTCGACCGACCAGGGCCACAGCGGCGAGCAGCACTGCGTGCTTGAATCTTGCCGGTCGCCCAGCTGGCCTGGCTGCGCACCAGGCAACTGCTGACGCTGCCGTTGTTCCGCCATAATGGTGACCAGCAAACTTTACGGATACGTGGGAGCGTGGCAGATCACGGGAAGAGCAGGATTCGAGAGTTGGCGGGGTTTCCGATACCAGAATTGCACGTTGCGTGTCGAGGAGCCTTGGCATGCGTCACTTGCTTCTAACAAGACTGTCTCCCTTGCCGCAACTTGATGCACACCCGGGTCGATGATGCAGTGGCGCGGCCACAATGACGCTGCCTGTGTGCATGCTGGGCTGCTTTGAATGCCTGACATATCCGAGCATGCATATCCACAGCCCTCTTGGGCCTTTTGCTCTGGCCAGTTCTACACCCTTCAGCAACGCCGTGCTGTGCAGAGGCAACACCTCTGAGGGACCCTCAAGTAAGATAACATTGCTGTGTCCACAAGCACACGTTCATCAACGCGCAAAGGATTGTCGTCCCCAGCCCTTGTTGCTCGCAACAAAGCCCTCGTTGCTCACCACAAATGCTATGCCTCTGCGCGTGCACGCTTGCCCCCATGCTGCCTAGTCGCACACTGCATGCAGCTGGGGTGTCGCAACCAATCTTTGCGCCGGCCCCAACTACGCTACACCATTCAAAAGGATGCACGGCCATTGATGCACCCTACACCCCGCAGAGAGCCATCAGTTCCTCCAGGTCCTCTTCAACCCCGGCTGCCCCGCCGCCGCCGCCGCCGCCAAAGCCGCCGCCAAAGCCGCTGTCACTCACGCCGCCCACCACCCCACCGCCGCCGCCAGCCGGGTACGCAGGAATGGCACCCCAGCCGCTAGCAGGCGCGCCCTCAAAGCTGCCCTTTATAAAATGGCCCGTCTGGGCGCCGGGCGCCGCTGCGGGCGGCGGCGGCGGCGCGAGCAGGCCTGGTTGTTGGTGGGTGTAGGCAGGCTGCTGCTGCTGCTGCTGCTGCTGCTGCTGCTGTAGCTGCTGCAGCGGCAGCTGTTGCTGCTGCTGCTGTTGCTGCTGCTGCTGTTGGTGCTGGTCAAACACAGGTGTGTCAGGGCAAGCGTGGTGGACGTTGTCACGAGCGGCCTGCCATGGCACGGACGCAAAGACAGGGGCGGCCGCAGCCATGACAGGGGCAGGGTGGTCCTGACGGGCCAGCCACTGGGCCGCAACTGGCGCTGCCGACTGCTGTGCAGCAGGCAGCGTCGCCAACTGTGGCTGCGCTGCGAAGGGGGCGGGAGCCGGCGGCAACGCATGCGCCGCAAAGTGCACGGCGGGCGCCGCGGGCTCGGCGGGCGGGGCGAGAGGGGCCAGTGTGTATGGCTGGGCGTGCGGCGTGAGCTGCACCGACGGCGCACGCTGGGCGGGTGCCACGGGCAAGTAGGGCGCCGGGGCCGGCGCAGGCCACGGATTGAGTGTGGCACTCGCGGCAAGCGCCTGTGGCAAGACGGCGGCCACGGCCGGCCCAGGCACCAGGGACGCTGGCCCCGGCGTGGCCGGCGCCGGCGGCGACGGGCACCGGGCGAGCGGCGCCGATGGGGGCGCCGCTGCCGCCCGTGCTGGGGCGGCTTGAGGCTGTGCGCACACCAGCTCCTCCATCCATCGATCTTCGTCACCCTGCTCCTCCTGCTCATCATCATCGCCAAATTGCTGCCCTGACGGCGACGCCTCCCCGGCAGGCAGTCCCCCCTCCACGGCTGCACTGGGCCGCGCCCACCAATCGGTGTCGTACCCCGCCCGCGACGCCCCCGCCGCCGCCGCGGCCGCCGCCGCGCGCGCGGCGTCGCGCTCCGCGCGTGCCTGTGCCATGAGCCGCTCCTGCTCCTCCACAAAGCCGGCCGCGTCCGCCTGCACGCCGGCGCGCCGCAGCATATCTTCTAGGCCCTCGCCCTCCGACCCCTCGCCACTGCCACCTCCGTCGCCGTCGCCGCCCCCGCCGGCGGCCCCTTTCCCGTGCACCGCCTCAATCTCGGAGATCCACCTCTTCAGCTCCTCCTCGTCGTCCTCCCCTCCCTGCCCCGGCCCCTCGGCTTCCGCTTCGTCGTCTGAAGATGCCAGCATGGCCCCAAGCAGCCGGTTGTATGCTTCCACGTAAGCCACGCGCCCCGCGCCGCCGCGGTGCGCCGCGAGCGCGGGGTGCGTGCCAAAGGCCGCGGCGCCCGCGCCGCTGCCGCCGGCGGTTGTGGAGGCGGTTGAGGGGGTGCGCTGGGGTGGGGCCGCTGGGGCGGGGCGGGGCCGGGCGGAGAGGTTGGCTGGCGAGTCTGGCTCTGACAGCCCGGGGATGAACCTGTAAGGGTGGGTGGACGGCACGATTGCGGAGCAGACGTGTGTGTGTGTGTGTGTGTGTGTGTGCGCGCGCGCGCGTGCACGCACATGTACGTGGGCGAGTGTGGGCAGGGGGCGGGGTGAGATGACACGGGGTGACACAGCTCGGAGAGGCGCAGAAGCTCGTATGCGCCATGAGCAGATCACAACAACGGGACGTAGTGAATGCGGCTGATGATTGGTAACTCAGCAAACGCCAAACCAAGCCCCTCAGCACGTGTTGTGCATCATCCCGGCAGCCAGAGCGACATCAGTCAACGTATATGCAAGCAGGGCCCCGCGCCCGCTGACCTGGCGGCGGCCGGCTGCTTGCCGCCCAGCAGCTCCGCCTGCCGCGCCGCGGCGGCGGCAGCCGCGGCTGCAGCGGCCGCCCGCCGCGCTGCCGGCGTCAGTGGCTGG